GAAAACAGCATGATACTCCTTTAATCAACTGTTGCCGACAGTTTCCACAAGCAACAACATGTAAAAAATGTGATGAACTAAGCCGCATCATCATCACACTCCCCATTGTCATTATCTTTTATGATACACACCCCAACAGTGTTAATATACATCACTACAATTCATGTTTACCTTTCTGCTGCATATTTTCTCGCTTTTATTGGTCTCTTGGATCAGTCTCCAAAACTGAAATGAATGGACCGTTGACTTTGTTGTGCTGCACCTTCTATCTACAGCCAAAGGTGTCTTGTACAGTTAAAAATTAAGTAAAAGTCACACTGTTCCTCTTTATGTTTTTTATGTAACAGAGTGACAGTCTGGGGTCTAAGTAGAGAGAGGCACACCAGAGCAGATCTGTACATGTGGCCTCCCAGCATCCTTGAGTGTACACACACCCCCACGCACGCACACATGCAGGCACACACACACACACACACACACACATACACACAGTCTATCTTGCCATCCGCGGCTCAGCTCTGGCACACACCGACGTATGCAGCCCAGCCACAGAAATGGGTTTACATCAACGTTGTAACCCCTTTTTCCTGTCAGTATGACTCTTTTTAAGATGATGATTTTAAACCTAACACCAAAAACGTGAAACAACAAACAGGCATAACATTCAGAAATGCAATGTACTTTATAGTTAAATGTTATCTGCTGCTTGTAAAAATGTTATGCAGTATACAAAAAAATGTAATAAAGCACAAGTAACAAAACTAAGTATCTACTTAATAAAAGGAGTGTGACGCTGTTTCAAGAATTAAAAAGTGTTTCAAGGGCCTCATTTCACCCTGCGCATGAAGCAACAACATTTGTCTATTTGATTATCAGTTATATAACTACAGACTTGAGCCAAGCAACATGATTGAGCCAAATTGTATTCCAACTGTGCTGAAAATCCCTATAGAACAACCAGGTGGGCACGATGATATACAGTACATGGAGTCGGTTGCTACACTAACTCGTGGTAAACAATGAGCCGGTCATGTTTCTATTTTCATTTGCAGTATCATATGTATACAGTACAATAACAAATACAATCTAATGCACTGCAACAAAATACTACCTTTGTCAGCTTATGATATACAGCATAGCAACCTTACTCGTATGGTCCTATATCGGAGAGGAGCTTGATACATTACATTGCTATTTGATGTTAAGTTTGTTATGTTATATTATGAATGGCATTATATTCTGTACAGCTCCTGTGGATTTTCCTACAAGTAATAATATGCACTACGGAAATGGCAATTTACTTGCATCTTGACCAAACAATGTATGAATATCAATAATGATGATAATGATAATCATTAGTTGCACCCTTAGTATCATAATAATCAGATTTAATTTTGAACAAGTAAGCTGCATGGTAACATAAAGTCTGATGATTGTGTTATCTTCAAGCAAACTAATTTTGTGGGATACTTGGTAAATGTTCAATATTAATTGTTGGTCATTTGTGCAACACGATCATTTCTGAGAATATGATCATTTGAAAAAAGAGAATACCTAATTGTTGTCCAACCATGCTTGTTTGTTGTCGTTTGTTTGCATGTCAAGTTGTTTGTACTGTAAAGGTGGTTGCTGTTTAGACCTCGCAGACGTCAATGCCCTGCATCAGAGGAACACAGTATAACAACACACACCATGCTGATGCAACGTGCACCAACATACCAGGAAGTAGCTCAGTTACAACCATGGATGTATAAAGAGAACTGGATACAGCGCTGGAGGCGGGGCTCCGTTTATTCCTATGAAATCTGCTTAGTGGAGAATGAAGTCAAAAAAGTTTGACTTCCTGGAATAAAATTACATTTCCTTTAATCCTGACTCATACAGCAAGCACCCCAGAGACTTCCAAGCCAAGCCGGCTAACTTCCAGTTTAGCCCTCCGCTAAACTGAATGGGGGTAAAATGATTTAGTCGTGCAAATCTTCTAAACTTTCCAAATGTTAACAGACCTAATGGAAAAATGTATCCACTGTTTTACAGCAGCTTCTTTCACAGTGTAAATATATGGGAAAATGTTTCCTGGGGCCAGCGTGCAACATGTGACAGAACCCGAAGTTGATATGTCACGTTTTGGCCACTATGTTAAATTGGCTTTAAAGCAGGGCACACTTCCTGAGGGCTTGGGTACAAAAGCACTGTGGCACAGATTTTTGGCATTACCACTTATTGGTTTATTACACTAACAAAGTTATTAAACTCTGACGAGAAAATCTAAAAACAAGAAAAAGAAAAACAGAAAATGCTATGAAGTGATTAAACAGATGCTTTTTAGGCTTTTACAAAGCTTTGTCATCAGTGTTTGTGGTAGCAATCTAGTCTACTGTAGGCTATTAGACAGTATGTAAAGTAAATTATTAAAAACAGTTTTCACTTATGACCCATGACAAAGACACTTTTCCACAGTTCAAATTGATAAACAGCACAAAAACCAAGGAGCATATCAGTGTGACAGCAGGGAGATAACAGTAGCTGACACCCATGCTCATCTTTGACTTGTTTACAAAAGCTACACCTCAGTGGTTCTTTCAGAAGGACAATACTGACTCACATTATTCACATTAATCAAACGCCATTTTGTGATATGGCCATTCAAGCCTTGTTCATACAGAAGCTCATAAAACAGCAAATAAATCTCTCTCTTTCAACGTTCTACTCAAGGCCTATTCATCTATCAGACTGCGTTTTCAAGCCGAACTGAGACTTTTTATTCTCACTGTGCTGCACGTAGGTGTTTTTCCTCATGGGACTTAAATATGACCATACTGCATCCTCAGCAAAGCACATGCCATGTTTTCTCAATGAATAATTTCCTGTGGGATGACACATTCACATAACTGCAATATATTTAGCACCGAGTTACAGCACAATTTTGGAAAATTACCAGAAGGCGGAGCATGAACAACGATTGAAGTTACTATGTATGGGAAAAATTTCGCCCAACAAATACTGATTTTCAATATCTGACTCTGTCTTCCCGTGTCTGCCTCTTGGAGGTGATAAGCGGCAGATGCCCTCCCCTCCAGGGGTGCAAGCACTTCCGTCACAAAATGAAATGCCACAGACAAACACCTTAGCAATCCTATTTTTTCTCTTCTGTTGTGCTAGAATCACACCGGAAAACTCCGGCTTAAACACTGCAAAAAGCACAGACTGCTTTCTTTTCCCAAATGCACACTCAAGGTGTCCTGCAGAGATCTCAAGTGCCCTGATATATCACTCTGAACTGAATTTATTTATGGAGCATCAACAGAGACCAGCACAGATATGTTTTTGTGGTTGCAGGAGGCACTGCACAAAAGAAAATGATCTGAACTTTCACTAGACTCTCAGGTCTAGCTTATGATTCCCATATTTTTAAATCAATTTGTAATTCCCGTATTACAGTTAATATCATTCATCACCTCTTCAAAAAGGCTAACTAATGAATTTAGTAAGAAAATAGTAAGGCTATCCTGTGCCTGTTCATAGAAATGATTGCCTGCTAAACTTGACATGAATGTGATTCAGACGATTGCAGTGTTCACCAAACAAGTTGGTCAAAAAGGGGCATTAAAAGTCACATCCAGCGTGTTCTGCCTTTTGCTAATACCACAGGTCACTAGGGGTGCAACAACTAATCGACGTAGTCTACAAAAATCGATTATTAAATTCATTGCCAACGTCATCGTCAGCTTAACGGACTAAAGTGATGTGAACAGTGAAGTTACTAAAACAACACAACATCAGCGCTGCAGTAACACCTTCACAACCTAAAACCTCTTAAGTGTGGCAGCATTTCACTCTTCACTCAGCCAAAAAGGTTGTTAACTGCAGCGTCTGCAAAGCTGAGCTTTTCTGGAAACACCAGAGCATCTGAAGAGGAGGCGCGTCATGTTGTTGCTCTGTAGATGATGAAGACTCATCTTTGTAAGCTAGTTAGCAAGCTAGCTTCCCATTAAAGTCATGTTACTTCACGTTATGAGCTGTAACGTTTTCTATACAGTTTCCCTTAGTCAATTTGATTGATTTTTAATGGCGCTGACAGTAGGACATAATTATGTTTATACACAACGGCCGCGTTCACATTCCAGATGTGCCCTGACTTTACAATCATAAACGATGCATCGCTAGAATGTGTTGCTGCAGAGTACACAAGATTAGACAACACTGGACAATTTCATACTTTCTAAAGAAGAGAAAACAGTTCTCCTGTCTATGCATGAGGCGGCGTGTAATACGCACCAGAATGCAGAAACAACAACAACAAACACCAAAAAAATCTGAGTTTTGTGAGTTGTTGAGTTAGTGGAAAATATATAAATGTTGTGAAACCCTGTCTACTATAAAATCATTAATTAATAATTATTATAATAATTATTGACCCCCTGTAAATTCGGCAAATGTGATGCATGACGTTATTCCTTTCTTTGTATATGGTGTCAGTTTGTCCCGGTGTGTTGCAGTACTGGTGTGTAAACTGCTCCGTCACTAAACAGCAGATCAGCTGCGGAGATCAGGACTTGATTTCAGTGGAACTTTCTGTTGCTGCAGTAGAAACGTTCATTAAAAGATCCATTTTTGAAAGCAGTATTTATTTTATTGTCGTGACTGTTAATTAGCACATGCCTGAAACAACCTCAAGTTTAATTTAAAACTTGGTAGCTAAATAAGACACTTTGTGTAATTTTGCAATTCATAATCCAAATACTCGATTATTCGTTTCAATAATCAATAGATTAACCGACTATCAAAATAGTTATTTTAGTTGCAGCCCTACAGGTCACTGAGTCTAAATCAGTTTGTGCTCTGACAAACGTATCACAGCTAAGACTGCAGTACAGTACGGATCACAGTCCACTCTTCTTTTTCTTGCACTGGTATGTTTACATAATCTAACATTTCAAAAGCCCTCCGAGCAAACAAACACAAAGTCAACCTGGATAAAGTACTTCAATGAGACCTACCTGGAAAAGCTGAGAGTAAAAGCAGTGGGGAGCCCATCGTCACCCCTCTGTATTCCAGGCGACTCTCCATACCTGTTCCCCCCGGCCCAGCTCTCGCCCACCAGAGGCAGGTTTGAGTACATGCCAAAAGGCTTCTGGTCTTGCAGGCCCACAGTGGGGGATGGGCTGGCTCTGTACTGGTAGCCAGGTCCTGCACTGACGCCCATAGGCGAGGACATGGGGCCTGTTCCATGGAGAGCGCCCAGGCTGCTCTGAAGACACTGCGACTGGCAGAAATCAGTGCTCTCCTGCTTCTCCTGTTTGACCACACCAGGAGTATGGATGTGGATGAAAGAATCGTCAGGATCCTTCTCTTCCTTGATCATGACGCTGGACAGAAGCGATGCAGGCTCCTGTTGATGATGAAGCTGATTTTGCTGGTGCTGAAGAAGGTGGTGGGGCTGCTGCTGATGGTGATGCTGATGGTGTATGGGGTGCTGCTGCTGGTCTGTGCCATTCAGACTGGTACTGCTTACTCCGTTACCCATGTGAGACTTTGTTTCCTTTAGCAAGCCGCCGACAGCACCACCACTGCCCCTGCTGTCGTGTAAAATGTTATCCAAGTGTGCCACTTCTGAATCCAACTCAAAATCACTTATATCTGGCAGAGAGCTAGAAAGGTCCAGGTCTTGCCAAATCTCAGTATCATCGATTAGGCGACTGCTGTTGCCATCCAAATCACACGGACCAGCGCCTGTGTGCCCACTGTAAGCTCCCAAGTCTTTATCCAGAGAAAAATTCCCCTCCTGCTTGATGTGCTGGGCAAAAAGGTTGGGCAGAGGGAGGTTGCCCAGGACGGAGGAGGTAGAGGTATTGATGATAGAAGTGGGCATCCGGTCGACACCAGAAATACTCTGTTTCAACAAGTTGTCCTCCATGCCGAATATGCTGATATCCTGGTGGTGTTGTTGTTGTTGTTGTTGTTTCTGCATTCTGATGATTTTACCCTCCTCCACATCTGACCCCTCACACAGGACAGGATGCTGAGGGGACTCAAAAAGGCCTCCAAGTTGCCCCTGGTCTTTGGTTCCACCCCGTCCATTTGGGGCCACTGTGGGCTGGGGCAAAGACGCTGGGCCAGGCAGGTGCATTGCAGACTGGAGCAGTGAACCAGCTGTGTCACCTGTATCTCTGCCTGTCTCCCCAAATGTCAGGCTGTCGCCTCGATTACCATTGCGCTTCAATCCACCCTGATCCATTTCTTTATCCTGACAGGACAGTGAGGGGGAGTCAAAGCAAATAGAGTGACAGAGAGAAGAGACAAGGTTAGGCTGATGCTGGATAAAATTATACATATGCAGTCGCTAGTCCTTAAGTAAAAGTTAAAAAGCCTATTGAAATATTGATCTTTCACAATAATCTGTGTCTTGAAACATCTGTATTAAAAATGTGTTATGTCGCAGTTTCAAAGCACAGTTGGTGCTAACTCACGTCTACTAAGGTTTTCTCTTACTTATTTTTATTTTTCAAGAAATTACTGCAGCCATATGAACAGGTCATCTCTTTCTCTCAAACCCACACTGGCACAATACGGCAGAGGCGCAAATGGCACAAACCATGCTCAACACAATCAGTTCAGCGAAAAAAACGGAGACCAAGGCCATTACATAACATAAATGAATGCTGATAAATGTAATGTTTATGTTATTTCTTTGAACTGTGCCCTCCCTGCAGCTCAAGCATCAAGAGGCGCCAAAACATGCAGAGGCATAACTTGTGTTACAGGCATTGCCACATACAGCCAAGCATGTGTGCAACCACATATATCTGTCTAAAGTGATTAATCCATGATGGGCCTCTGGGCATTTACACCAATAGCTGTGTGTCTCAACTTGCAAGAGAAAGCAAAATAAGAATTCAGTCCAAACTCCGTGAAATAAAATAAAAATGTAAATTAATAAATAAAATATTAAATTGACTGAGTGTAAGTCAAATAAAACTAAATCATGTAGCAGCAACCTCTGCACAGGAAAGCTTGATGTTAAGGGTTCTGCTGCGCACCAATGTAGATCTGTTGATAGCTTCCATATCTGGAGCAGCAGAAAGGAACTACCGTAAACCAAGCAAGCTGTTACTTGCAACAATTTGTTTCAAAGTCACTGCCACTGAATGGCCTACATGCGCTATCACAAATACACATGCACAAATAGGCCTAAGTCCCTCAGCGCATTCTGAAGTCTGTCTGCTATTTATATCTAGTAAATGTCACACGAACAACAATTACCTTGACGTAACGCATTACCGACAAGTTAATGACAACTGGATAATTACGTGTGAATTTCTGATCAAAAGCAATATCCGCTCTATTTTATCTGTGTGGTTTTTTTTGTCTCGGTCGTGACATTCTACCTTGATAAGGCATTACTCCATACAGAAGATGTGTATTACTGTATGGGAAGCGGTTTACAGCACTTCCTTTGCGCAGCTGCTGCACAGTGGTGCTAAAGGTGAGGTCCAATGACTCGTGGGTGCCCTATGGCCTCTAAAAAACATAAATAGGCTGAAGACATTTTATTTTTATCGCACGCCACTGGAGGAGAATTAGGCCTAGGCTATAAAGATTTTTGTTTTGGTCATGGGTTCACTTTCCCCGCCCACAGTACTGTGTAGACGGCTCTATAGATAGTGTAATTATTACTGCATATACAGACCATCAACGTTACACAATTTTCTCTAATTGAGGTTGTTGTGTTTTAGAGACGGTAGTGACACTCATTGGTATGTTCAAGTTAAAAAAAAGTTTGAGACTGACTTGCAAAACCTTTCTTTTCCTACCGAACAGCATAACACACCATAAGAGCATTAGTGCAACCTGTTGGCTGCGATGGGAAATTGCACTGCTCACACGCCTACAGGCTATACGGACAGGCTGATAAGCAGCCGTGCCGCGTAAGTTTATGCAACATTTTATCTATCTTACACTAAAACATGACGGTTCAGGTGGCGATGTTGTCAGCGCTGTCACACGGCGCAGGGCTGTCAGTAAGCCTTCAACGCAGCACCGCGGACGCTTATCGTCGGCCTACCTCGGTGGGGAAGAGCCAGTTTTCTCCTCTCTCAATATTTCTCCAGCTATATAATGAGAAGACAAGTGGTCTGAACCTTAAAGTAGACCGTACCTGTAGTGAACGAAGGATGCGCCCCGTTCGTTAGGTCATCTCCCGTCAATCCAAGTTGGGGGGGAAATGTGAGAAATAACGCAATGTCCACCCAGTCAAGCCCTCAAATAAAACCTCTTTCTTGCAGTGATGTTGCGTGGTCAAATCTCAGATGTATTTGTTGCGACCTGTTTCCTGGTGTGGCAGGAAAACATCGTCCGAAATGTCAACTATTTTATAATTAAAGTCGACAGAGTCGCTGACCTAGCTGAAGAGGGGCGAGATCCACCGTGTGCGCCGTTTCGCCGATCTGTCGATAACTTTTAACGCACGTCGCCGGTAGGTGGAAAAAGTGTTCGGTCGGTCACTTGCTCGCGATTTCAGGATTAATCCACAACGAATCGACAGATCTGCGGCGCAATATTCTGCTCTTGCGCCATTACACTAGTAGGCTACATTAAAGTTATATAATACAGCCGTGTTGCCCTGGCGTACTCTACTGCAAACTCAAGCGGGGTATGGCGGACAGTTAGCGAAAGCATGTCAAGGTACATGGGATGAGAGGAGCAGTTCCGCCTTAACCTTTCACAATAAAAGCTTTGGCGTTGCCACCGTCATGCTGATCTTTAAATGCTTAGGGAAAATGCACGTTCTGAGCTCTTCTGGAGATCAATGTACATTAATGGCCAGTTTTTCCAAAACAAACAGTATCATTCAACTTTTATTATTCAGTTCTGTTTTCACAGCAATCTTTTTTACTTTTATTTTAAGGCAGAATAGCTCAGCTTCTTGTCACCGTCTGTCTATCTGTGTTAGCTTGACGCAGCTGTTAGTTTGACACTTGCCGGTGAACGCCCCTTTCCCCACAGAAACTCTGCTGGGGAAACTGTCAAAACCTGTCTTCGTCAGCCATCGGCAACCTCCAGACACGGTGGGATTGATGAGCCAGGGTAGGTAGTGTTTTGGTACAGCCCTCTTCACCCATCAAACCAAGGATGGAGTATAAAATCCCTCTATAGTTTGACTTCCTAAAGTAGTCCTTTTAAGCTAGGGGTCAAATAAGGATCTGAGCAAAGAGGAGGAGCATGTAATCAGGAGCATGCTATTAGAATCCCCGGTTTCATACTCCATTGTTGTCTCCTCAACTATGAAATCTTAAACTGCGCCCTACTTCAGAGTAGTGATTCTCAAATCTTTGCACAACAACCCCTAAAGTGACACATATTAGACCACAAGTCTAAGATTTTGGTTTTATTATATAAAGTGTATTAAACGCATGACAAATATAGTCATTGTGTTCATATGGATGGAAATGTGAAAACAAATGATTCCACTTTTTGAAAGACCCCTCAAGGACCCCTGTGGGTCCCTTGACCCCCACTCTGAGAACTACTGCTTCAGGCATGAACAGCCTCCAAACAAAACCGCCTTCAGCACTTTCAGATCAAGGACATTAATCATGCCTCAGATCAGCTCTTTGTCTATTCTCAACTAAGCAGAGTTGTACTTGGTGAGCAGCAGGGCGCTTTTCGCTAGACCAGAGAGAGAGGGGTCAAAGGGCAGGTTGACAGCAAGTACTTCTAAGGCCTCTACATACGACTAAGATAGACGTTTCTGTCAATCAAAATACATATAAGATTACATAAAACAACTGACGATGGACCTTGCAGTGATTATAACAATATTATGCAATTCTGTTGATCACCTTCTTCAGCTGGAAATATATTTGCTGATGTCACTTCAGTGGACCAGAACAAGGATTAATTTGAGTTGTGTGCTAAGCAGAGTCAGCTTACGGTAAAGATGAAGAGAGGAGAGGAGATCGACAGTCCAGGCTGCACAAACAACAGACATCCATGCTGTTCCATCTACAAGAAAAGAAGCAAGTATGGGCAGACGCAAATCAACCACAGGAAAAGGGGCAGAGGAGGGGGGTGGGCAGGTGTGTCCCTCCACCCAAGTCATTCGATTAGAAGGAGCAGAGTGTGTCCTGTGCATGCGGATGTCTCATTAGGAGCTAGCGTGGCTAGAGAGAGGCAGGAGCTCCCCAGGGCCTGAGAAAACCGCACTGTTCTCAAAACATCACAGGGAACACAGTGAGTTTTTAATGTCGGGTAACGATTGGTGATCCTATTTGCTATTAAATAATAAAGACACTGGACATGTGGTGCTCCATGTGCATGCAATTTGGAATTCATAGAGAAGTATGTTACTGTGGTCGTGTAATACACTTTGCTCTGTGTGCACAGTATGTTACACCATAGTTTCAATGAATGTGCTGCTGTACAGACAATTCCATGTGAATATTCATTGATTAATGTACAGATGTGCTGGTGACTAATAGAGGCAGTTTGGGTTTCAAATGTTCTTGACCTTTGAAAAATAACCCCACAAACCTGGATTCAACTTTTGCCTCAAGTCACTGGACCCAAATAGAGGTACATGTTGGACGCACACACACAAACACACACAAGACACACATTGTTGGCTGCCCATTCGCTTTTATAAATATCTGACTAAATTACAGGTAAAAAGCATGGTTAAAAGGTCACTTCATTCAAATCACAAGCAGAGTTTCTAATTTAACCCAGTGGTATCTAGTCATGTTGCATGTTGCAACCCTTTGGTTTTATCTGGTGAGGTTTATGTCACCACCCAAATACAACTGAGATGATAGGATTTTATTTTGCAGTACTCACAGTATTAAAAAATGTTCTTAACAACAATGTCCCATTTTCTTTAAATGACTCTAATTTTGTATTGCGAACTAGCAAAATATTACACACCTAAATAAATTGATTGACTTGACAAATACATTAGCATAACTTAATCTGCTCTTACACTTGTATCAATTCAAATAGCACAAAATTAGTGTACTAAATTGTCCTTATCCTGCGTACAGGGTCGTGGGACAGCAAGAAATAAGTAATTTAAATAAGTAATAAGTGCATTTTCTCATACCCCTTCTCTGTATTACTTTGGGACATTTACACTCTCCTTCAAGAGGAATGGTAACATTCACACAGCAGGATTTACCTAACAGTTGAGTTACGTTAGATGTACAGGACGGAGCATAGGGAGGAAGGAAGTGCAGAAAGGAAGGAAGGATTTCTTTTTAAAGGTGAACAGCCTTTGGGATATCTTCTTTGAGACAGAGAGAACGCTGAGTTATACAATGAGTAGGAAACATATAAAGGAGAAAGGATGAATATGACCCAGCAAGGAAGGATTTCTAGATAGATTACAATTACAATTCTGTGTGATGTGTGAGTCTGCGAGTGTGCAAATGTGTCCAAATAACCCAGTGGCAGAAATTTGCAGAGGCTTTGAAATAGACACAATGAAGCACTTTAAAACATTTACTTTAAGGACAATTACATTAAGGGAAAACGTGTCTTTGATTTGCTTGTGTATTCAGCAGATTTAGTTTTACATCAGAGCACACTGTACTGTTGTTCCCATACAGTCAAACACAACTACACCACCCTGTTAGACAGGAAGTCTAGATGATAATTTACCATTCTTGGATGGCATTTGGCACATGTCCATCTTTCTGCCTTGCCATACAAAAGAAAGTGTACTTGTACTTATGTCAGTGCTTAAGTGCCTTCATGCACACCTCCACGCATACTGTCCATCTTAACTGGATTAAACTGTAGTTCTTAATAGTTAGCTATTTTAAATAGATTTCAAATAAAGTCAAGTTACTCCAAGCAGTGGTAGAATGACATTTAAGTACAATTTTGGGGTATTTGTGTGTGTGTAAGTATTTCCATTTAATGCTACCTTCTCCACTGGAAATATAATTTTTACTCCACAACAATAATTTCATGGCTATAGTTTTGCTTTTGACACTTTAAGTTAATGACAGTAGTACGACTTTGAATGCAGGACCTTTACTTGTAATTGAGTGGGGTTTTTTTTTGTGGTGCTGCTACTTTTACTTAGGCATAAGTAAAATATCACAGTACTTCTCCCACTGCTGCTGACTCCAAGCAGATTAAATTAAAGTTGTACTTTAAGTTGTACACAAGAAGTTCATAAGAAAAACCAAAAACATCCATAAGAAAACAATTCTTTTAGCACTTCAGGGATTTATCTTTCCAGCTTAACAAGTTAAAGTCTTCCAGAGGCAGAACAGTTATTCCTATTGATAGATGTCAGTGTGGGTTTAAAGGTTTTGTACAGCATCATTTAATTTCATAATTTGACTAAATTGATTGATTTCAAACACATAAATAATAGTACATGTGAAACGTCCCATTACCACTGACCTCCTTCCACAACAAACATGTTTGTTCATGTTTGCTCATGAGCACTTAAGTTAAAACAATATAAGACAAACAACTGAGTAACACGTTTTAAAAATGCCTGTCTACACAACAAGTTGACCCGATACAGAGGCAAAAATTACTTTCATGTTGGAGCAAAAACAGTAAAACATGATCCCCCTTTTTTTGAGGTTGCACAATGGAAAAATTAAAAGCTTTTCATCATCTAAAAAGTATGTGTTTAAAGGTCAAAAAATGTTTGGGGAATGAATTTTCATTTTCACTGGAAAGATCGAAAAACTGAAGCATTAAATGGACTGTAACCAAATATAAAGAGGAGAGACTGGAGTAACGTGCAGTGTAATGTATGTGAAGATCTATAGCTGCCAAAAAATTGAAAAATGAACAATTGGGGGTTAAAAAAATCAAGGCAGGAGGAGAGAGTTTTAGTTTTACATTTATATTGTCACTTTGTCACTTTATGGACGATTCTTTTTATCCAAAGCCACTTTACTTCACATTAATTAAACTAATTAGACTTTTTCTATCATGTGTTTAATATTGTATGTTAATTGCACTTGTATAGATTTCATTATGTTGCTCAGTTTAAATGAGTTCTGAAAAAATGTCAGGGTCACTGTTAAAAATTTATTACCACCAAAATTGGGAACAAAACAAGCCATGCCTCACCATGTAGATGCCAGTCTACAGCGCTGGAAGACAATGACAACAACCACTCCAGTATAAGAACAAATTGTTTGAACTGTGGTTAATAGCAAGCTCTCAAATTTCCTGAACACAACTGAAACACATCTCGTACTGTTACATTAGTACATAAAGTGGTAAGTGTTAATGTACTGAACTATAAAAAGTGGTGCAGCCTAGAAACTGTCAGATTTAGCAAAACCACTTTTTTTGTAGCTATTGCTGCCAATGTGCATATCCCCACTTCATTTTGTTCTCTTCATCATATTCTGTTTCTGTTTTCACAGACAAATTGCATAATGCTTGCAGTCTTAAGGTTTTGAATACAAGTTTAGAAAAAGTCGCTGCTTTTCTGACTGTGGTCCCTCCCAGTCATTCATTTGTTTTGTTGCCTGCCGCAGAAATGTCACAACACAAACTGCTGCCATATTTGAGATACAGGCGAAAGCTTGACTCCCTACGAGAAAAGGCCAAAAGATTTTGATATTCATTATCAGTGTCTGCTTAGCAAAGAGAGTAAGGCATGTTGCTAACCTTCAAGTTAACTGACCACAG